AATAGCAAAACATCTTTCAGTATTTCACTTGGCTTATAAAACGGAACAACAGCATTTGTTGCCTAGTAACCAACACTACACTTTCATTCTGTAAGGTTTTGTGGGATGACAAATTCAAGGTGCGTGTGGACAAAACATTTATTTATTTTTCGTGTCAGGTAATCAAATTAATGTTGATTTCTTTTGGGTTTTGTTTTGACGAATGAACCGCTTTGAGCTTCTCTCATTTTCTGCTCCCATATGTTTCTCCGCTGTCTTCTGATTGAGGCTGGAATTACCACTCAATGGGGTGGTAATAGAATTTATGGCTGTGATGTTATTTTGTCTCCCATAGTAATTAATATTAATTTTGACGATAGCGAACTGTTTTGTGAAGTCGCTATCATCGTCCTTTCAATGCAATAGATCTTGCAATAACGTGCCTCTGGGGCTTTGGTTGGGGCTTAGACATTAATAGACACATATTTCTCCCGTGAAGAGGGCAAACTTAGATTTATATCGTTAAATTGAAAAAATGCAAACAACAGATGTTCACTGAAGTTATGGATATTGCACTGAATATTTATGGGCTAGTTGTTCTCTGCACTTTCGTCCAAATCTGTTCTCTTTTGTTACTAAAAGTGGAACTGAATCCTTATTTATAATTGTTCAAGTGATATCTCATCACAGCTCTGAATGCAAGATATGTGTGTTGGATTTTCGAAATATTGCGATATTTGGTTATTGAAATGTTCTAATCCGTCTTCACACTGCCCTGGTAGATTGTATTTTGACTTTGGGAACTGGACAATCAACTCTTGCCTTCTTCAATGGTAATGCCTATATTTGGTATTCTGTATTAGCAAAGAAGATAAGACTGAAGTCAGACTGGCGTCTTATCACAAGCTTATTGATGAGTACATGTATACATCCAGGAATGTTGTCTTTGGTCGTGTTGTCTTTGGTCGTGTTGTCGTTGGTCGTGTTGTCTTTGGTCGTGTTGTCGTGTTGTCTTTGGTCGTGTTGTCGTGTTGTCGTTGTCGTGTGTCTCTTTGGTCGTGTTGTCGTGTTGTCTTTGGTCGTGTTGTCTTTGGTCGTGTTGGTCGTGTCTTGTCGTTTGTCGTTGGTCGTCGTGTCGTGTTGTCTTTGGTCGTGTTGTCGTTTGGTTGTCTTGTGGTCGTGTTGTCTTTGGTTGTCTTTTGGTCGTGTTGTCTTTGGTCGTGTTGTCGTGTTGTCTTTGGTCGTGTTGTCTTTGGTCGTGTTGTCTTTTTTGGTTGTTTGGTCGTGTTGTCTTTGGTCGTGTTGTCTTTGGTCGTGTTGTCGTTTGTCTTTGGTCGTGTTGTCTTTGGTCGTGTGTTGTCGTGAATGGTGTTGTCTGGGTTGTGTTGTCGTTTGGTCGTGTTGTCGTGTTGTCTTTGGTCGTGTCGTTTGTTGTCTTTGGTCGTGTTGTCGATTGGTCGTGGTTGTCTTTGGTCGTGTTGTCTTTGGTCGTTTGTCGTTGTCGGTTGTCGTTTGTGTTGTCGTGTTGTCTTTGGTCGTTGTCTTTTTCGTGTTGTCGTGTTGTCTTTGGTCGTGTTGTCGTGTTGTCTCTTTGTCGTGTTGGTCGTGTTGTCTTTGGTCGTGTTGTCTTTTGGTCGTGTTGTCTTTGGTCGTGGTTGTCTTTTGTCGTGGTTGTCTTTGGTCGTTGTCTTCTTTGGTCGGTTGTCGCTGGTCGTGTTTTTCTTTGGTCGTCTTTGTCGTGTTGTTGTCTTTGTTGTCTTTGTCGTGGTCGTCGTTGGTCGTGTTGTCTTTGGTCGTGTTGTCGTGTTGTCTTAATCGTGTTGTGTTGGTCGTTGTTGTTGTCGTTTGTCGTGGTTGTTGTTGTCGTCGTCGTTTTCTTTGGTCGTGTTGTCGTTGGTCGTTTGTTGTCGTTGTCTTTGGTCGTGTTGTGTTGTCTTTGTTGTCGTTGGTCGTGTTGTCTTTGGTCGTGTTGTCTTTGGTCGTGTTGTCTCTTGGTCATGGTTGTCGTTGTCGTTTTGTCGTGTTGTGGTTGTCTTTGTTGTCGTGTTGTTTTGGTCGTGTTGTCTTTGGTCGTTGTCGTTGTCTGCTGTCTTTGGTCGTGTTGTCGCTGGTCATGTTGTCGTTGGTCGGTGTTGTCTTTGGTTGTTGTCGTGTTGTCTTTGGTCGTGTTGTCTTTGGTCGTGTTGTCTTTGGTCGTGTTGTCGTCGGTTGTCTTTGGTCGTGTTGTCGTTGGTCGTGTTGTCGTTGGTCGTGTTGTCGTCGTGTTGTCTTTGGTCGTGTTGTCGTGTTGTCGTGTTGTCATCGTGTTGTCTTTGGTGTGTTGTCTTTGGTCGTGTTGTCTTTGGTCGTGTTGTCGTTGTCTTGTCGTTGTCGTGGTCGTGTTGTCTTTGGTCGTGTTGTCTTTGGTCGTGTTGTCGTTGGTCGTGTTGTCTTTGGTCGTTTGTCGTGTTGGTTTGGTCGTTGTCGTTGTCGTGTTGTCGTGGTTGTCGTGTTGTCTTTGGTCGTGTTGTCTTTGGTCGTGTTGTCTTTGGTCGTGTTGTCTTTGGTCGTGTTGTCTTTGGTCGTGTTGTCTTTTGTCGTGTTGTCTTTGGTCGTGTTGTCTTTGGTCATGTTGTCGTTGGTTGTCTTTGGTCGTGTTGTCTTTGGTCGTGTTGTCTTTGGTCGTGTTGTCTTTGGTCGTGTTGTCTTTGGTCGTGTTGTCGTTGGTCGTGTTGTCTTTGGTCGTGTTGTCGTGTTGTCGTTGGTCGTGTTGTCTTTGGTCGTGTTGTCGTGTTGTCTTTGGTCGTGTTGTCGTTGTTGTCGTCGGTCGTGTTGTCTTTGGTCGTGTTGTCTTTGGTCGTGTTGTCGTGTTGTCGTGGTTGTGTTGTCGTTGTCGTTTTGTCGTGTTGTCTTTGGTCGTGTTGTCTTTTGTTGTGTTGTCGTGTTGTCTCGTGGTCGTTGTTTTGGTCGTGTTGTCTTTGGTCGTGTTTGTCGTGTTGTCTTTGGTCGTGTTGTCGTGTTGTCGTTGGTCGTGTTTGTCGTGTTGTCTTTGGTCGTGTTGTCGTTGTCGTTATCGTGTTGTCTTTGGTCGTGTTGTCGTTGGTCGTGTTGTCGTTTGGTCGTGTTGTCTTTGGTCGTGTTGTCGTGTTGTCTTTGTCGTTGTTGTCTTTTGGTCGTGTTGTCGTTGGTCGTGTTGTCGTCTTTGGTCGTGTTGTGTTTTGGTCGTGTTGTTGTCGTTGGTCGTGTTGTCTTTTGGTCGTGTTGTTGTCTTTGGTCGTGTTGTCGTTGGTCGTGTTGTCTTCGGTCGTGTTGTCGTGTTGTTGTCTTTTTGGTCGTGTTGTCGTGTTGGTCGTGTTGTCTTTTGGTCGGTGTTGTCTTTGGTCGTGGTTGTCGTTTGTCGTGTTGTCGTTGTCGTGTTGTTGGTCGTTGTCTTTGGTCGTGTTGTCTTTGGTCGTGTTGTCTTTGGTCGTTGTCTGGTCGTGTTGTCGTTGGTCGTTGTCTTTGTCGTGTTGTCTGTCTGGTCGTGTTGTCGTGTTGTCTTTGGTCGTGTTGTCGTTGGTCGTGTTGTCTTTGGTTGTCGTGTCGTTGTCTTTGGTCGTGTTGTCTTTGGTCGTGGTTGTCTTTGGTCGTGTTGTCTTTGTGTGTCTTCTCGTGTTGTCGGTCGTTGTCGTTGTCGTTGGTTGATCGTCGTGTTGTCTTTGGTCGTGGTCGTGTTGTCGTTGGTCGTGTTGTCGTTGGTCGTGTTGTCTTTGGTCGTGTTGTCGTTGGTCGTGTTGTCGTTTGGTCGTGTTGTCTTTGGTCGTGTTTGTCGTGTTGTCTTTGGTCGTGTTGTCGTTTGTCGTTTGGTTGTCTTTGGTCGTGTTGTCGCTGGTCGTTGCGTTGTCGTTGGTCGTGTTGTCTTTGGTCGTTTGTCGTTGTCGTCGTTGTCTTTGTCGTTTGGTCGTGGTTGTCGCTTGGTCGTGTTGTCGCTTGTCTTTGGTCGTGTTGTCTTTGGTCGTGTTGTCGTTGTCTTTGATGTTGTCGTTTGTTGTGTTGTCGTGGTCGTGTTGTCTTTGTCGTTGTTGTCTTTGTTGTCGCTGTTGTCGTTGTCGTGTTGTCTTTGGTCGTGTTGTCTTTGGTCGTGTTGTCGCTGGTCGTGGTTGTCTTTGGTGTGTTGTGTTGTCGTGTTGTCTTTGGTCGTGTTGTTGTCGTTCGTGTTGTCTTTGTCGTTGGTCGTGTTGTCTTTGGTCGTGTTGTCTTTTGTCTTGGTTGTCGTTTGTCGTTGTCGGTTGTCGTTATCGGTGGTCGTTGTCTTTGGTCGTGTTGTCTTTGGTCGTGTTGTCTTTGGTCGTGTTGTCATGTTGTCGTTGGTTGGTCGTGTTGTCTTTGGTCGTTGTTTGTCGTGGTCGTGTTGTCGGTTCGGTTGTCGTTGTCGTTGGTTAGGTGTTGTCGTGTTGTGTTGTCTTTGGTCGTGTTGTCGTTGGTTGTTGTGTCTGGTGGTCGTGTTGTCTTTGGTCGTTGTCTTTGTCGTGTTGTCTTTGGTCGTGTTGTCGTTGGTCGTGTTGTCGTGTTGTCGTGTTGGTTGGTCGTGTTGTCTTTGTCGCTTGTTGTCTTTGGTCGTGTTGTCGTGTCGTTGTTTGGTCGTGTTGTCTTTGGTCGTGTTGTCGTGTTGTGTCTTTGGTCGTTGTTGTCGTCGTTGTCTTTGGTCGTATTGTCTTTGTCTTTTGTCGTGTTGTCTTTGGTCGTGTTGTCGTTGGTCGTGTTGTGTTTTGTCGTAGTGTTGTCGTTGGTCGTGTTGTCTTTGGTCGTGTTGTCTTTAGGTCGTTGTTGTCGTTGGTTGTGTTGTCTTTGGTCGTTGTATTTGTCGTTGTCATTGTCGTGTTGTCTTTGGTGTCGCTTTGTCTTTGGTCGTGTCGTGTTGTCTTTGGTCGTGTTGTCTTTTGTCGTTTGTCGTTGTCGTGTTGTCTTTGGTCGTGTTGTCGCTGGTCGTGTTGTCTTTGGTCGTGTTGTCTTTGGTCGTTGTTGTCGTTGGTTGTTGTTGGTCGTGTTGTCTTTGTCGTGTTGTCTTTGGTGTTTGTCGTGTTGTCGTTGGTGTTGTTGTCTTTGGTCGTGTTGTCTTTGGTCGTGTTGTCGTTTTGTCGCGTGGTGGTGTTGTTTTGGTTATCGTGTTGTCGTTGGTCGTGTTGTCTCGTTGGTCGTGTTGTCTTTGGTCGTGTTGTCGTTGGTCGTGTTGTCTTTGGTCGTTATCGTGTTGTCTTTGGTCGTGTTGTCGTTGGTTAGTGTTGTCTTTGTCGTGTTGTCGCTTAGGTTGTTTGTTGGTTGCTGTCGCTGTGTCTTTGTCGCTGTCTTTGTTCGTGTTGTGTTGGTCGTGTTGTCGTCGTTGGTCGTGTTGTCGTTGGTCGTGTTGTCTTTGGTCGTGTTGTCGTTTGTTGTCGTTTGTCGTGTTGTCGTGTTGTGTTGTCGTGTTGTCGTGTTGGTTAGTGTTTGTCTTTGGTCGTGTTGTCTTTTGTCGTTATCTTTTGTCGTTGTCGGTCGTTGTCATTGGTCGTGTTGTCTTTGGTCGTGTTGTCTCTGGTGTCTCTTGTCGTGTTATCTTTGTCGTGGTTGTGGTCGTGTTGTGTCGTTTGTCGTTGGTTGTCTTTGGTCGTGTTGTCTTTGGTCGTGTTGTCTTTGGTCGTTGGTCGTGTTGTCTTTGGTCGTGTTGTCTTTGGTCGTTGTCGTTCGTTAATTGGTGTTGTCGTTTGTCGTTGGTCGTGTTGTCGTTGGTCGTGTTGTCGCTATTGTTGTCTTTGGTCGTGTTGTCTTTGGTCGTGTTGTCGTTGGTCGTGTTGTCTTTTGTCGTGGTTGTCTTTGATCGTGTTGTCATGTTGTCGTTTTGTCGTGTTGTCGTTGGTCGTCGTTGGTCGTGTTGTCTTTGGTCGTGTTGTCTTTGGTCGTGTTGTCGTTGTCGTGTTGTCGTTGTCGTTGGTCGTTTGTCGTGTTGTCGTTGGTCGTGTTGTCTTTGGTCGTGTTGTCGTGTCTCTTTGGTCGTGGTCGTCTTTTCGTGTTGTCTTTGGTCGTGTTGTCTTTGGTCGTGTTGTCGTTGTCGTGTTGTCTTTGGTCGTGTTGTCGTTGGTCGTGTTGTCTTTGGTCGTGTTGTCTTTGGTCGTCTTTGTCGTGTTGTCGTTGGTCGTGTTGTCTTTGGTCGTGTTGTCTGTTGGTCGTTTGTCGGTGGTCGTGTTGTCGGTGTCGTGTTGTCTTTGTCGTGTTGTCGTGGTCGTTTGTCGTTGGTCGTGTTGTCTTTGGTCGTTTGTGTTGTCGTTGGTCGTGTTGTCTTTGGTCGTGTTGTCTTTGGTCTTTGGTCGTGTTGTCTTTGGTCGTGTTTGTCGTTTGGTCGTGTTGTCTTTGGTCGTGTTGTCGTTTGTCTTTGGTCGTGTCTGTCGTGTTGTCGTTTGTCGTCTTTGTATTTGGTCGTGTTTGTCGTGTCGTTGTGTCTTTGGTCGTGTTGTCGTGTTTGTCTTTGGTCATGTTGTCGTGTTGTCTTTGGTCGTGTTGTCGTTGTCGGTCGTTGTCTCTTTGGTCGTGTTGTCTTTGGTCGTGTGTCTCTTTGTCGTGTGTTGTCTTTGGTCGTGTTGTCGTTTGGTTGTGTTGTCTTTGGTTGGTCGTTGTATTTGGTCGTCGTTTTGTCGTTGGTCGTGTTGTCTTTGGTCGTGTTGTCTTTGGTTGTCTTTGTGTTGTCTTTGGTCGTTTTGTCGTTGTCTCGTGGTTGTCGTTATCGGTCGTTGGTCATGTGTTGTCGTTGGTCGTGTTGTCGTTGGTCGTGTTGTCATTGGTCGTATTGTCGTGTTGTCTTTGGTCGTGTTGTCGTTGGTCGTGTTGTCGTGTTGTCTTTGGTCGTGTTGTCTTTGGTCGTGTTGTCGTTGGTGGTGTTGTCTTTGGTCGTGTTGTCTTTGATCGTGTTGTCGTGTTGTCTTTGGTCGTGTTGTCGTTGGTCGTGTTGTCTTTGGTCGTGTTGTCGTTGGTCGTGTTGTCTTTGGTCGTGTTGTATTTGGTCGTGTTGTCGTTGGTCGTGTTGTCTTTAGTCGTGTTGTCTTTGGTCGTGTTGTTTTTGGTCCTGCTGTCTTTGGTCCTGCTGTCTTTGGTCGTGTTGTCGTTGGTCATGTTGTCGTTGTTGTCTTTGGTCGTGTTGTCTTTGGTCGTGTTGTCTCTTTGGTCGTGGTTGTTGTCTTTGGTCTTGTTGTCGTGTTGTTGTCTTTGGTCGTGTTGTCGTTGGTTGTTGTCTTTGGTCGTGTTGTCTTTTTGTCGTGTTGTCTTTGGTCGTGTTGTCGTTTCGTGTTGTCTTTGGTCGTGTTGTCGTTGGTCGTGTTGTCTTTGGTCGTGTTGTCTTTGGTCGTGTTGTTGTCGTGTTGTCGTTGTCTGTCGTGTTGTCTTTGGTCGTGTTGTCTTTGGTCGTGTTGTCGTGTTGTCTTTGGTCGTGTTGTCTTTGGTCGTGTTGTCTTTTGGTCGTGTTGTCTTTGGTCGTGTTGTCGTTGGTCGTGTTGTCGTTGGTCGTGTTGTCGTTGGTCGTGTTGTCGTTGGTCGTGTTGTCGTTTGGTCGTGTTGTCTTTGGTCGTGTTGTCTTTGGTCGTGTTGTCGTTGGTCGTGTTGTCGTTGGTCGTGTTGTCTTTGGTCGTGTTGTCTTTGGTCGTGTTGTCGTTGGTCGTGTTGTCGTTGGTCGTGTTGTCGTTGGTCGTGTTGTTGTCATTGGTCGTGTTGTCGTGTTGTCTTTGGTCGTGTTGTCGTTGGTCGTGTTGTCGTTGGTCGTGTTGTCTTTGGTCGTGTTGTCGTTGGTCGTGTTGTCGTGTTGTCTTTGGTCGTGTTGTCGTTGGTCGCGTTGTCGTTGGTCGTGTTGTCTTTGATCGTGTTGTCTTTGGTCGTGTTGTCTTTGGTCGTGTTGTCTTTGGTCATGTTGTCGTTGGTCGTGTTGTCGTGTTGGCTTTGGTCGTGTTGTCTTTGGTCGTGTTGTCGTTGGTCGTGTTGTCGTTGGTCGTGTTGTCTTTGGTCGTGTAGTCGTTGGTCGGGTTCAGGCTCATAACGCCGACCTTTCGACCAAACTTTACGGTTGAGTGAAATATAACGGTCGACGTCCTGAGACTAGTTTCATTTTGCCAATTAATAATGGATTACGAGGACAATGCAGGATCAAAGAGTTGTTAGAGGAGGATAATCTGGATTATGCGGATGAGAGCGCACCTAATGAGAAGATGACAACAGATGACAGATTTTTATCAGTTGACAGATTTTAGCATTTTTAATAAATACATCGTAAATTCATATAGCATACATTTTTTCACAGATTTTAACCTAAATGCAATAGGTGGGATGCCGAATCAGCAAACTGCCTCACGGACAGTGTTCCTTGTTCAAGCTGGTGACAGATGTCATCCAGTCGTCGCTCCAAATCTCTGTATTTCCTCTTATTGGACGGACACTTCTGGCCAGCAGCATACTGGACCAGCTTGTTTTCGGTGTTGGTCGTGACAGGAACGACACAATCTCGAAAATGTTTGGATGAGCCTTGCCGACGTATTTCTTCAGGCGTGAATGCCACCCTTCTAAGGTGGTTGATCGTTCTTGGCCCATCTGATTTGTGGTGGTTCCATTGCGTCATGTGCAGATCTCCCTCCACCCAGAAGTTGGTCATGTAGTCTCCGAGTTGTCGGCAGCGGTCATCATCTGGCATCGTTGCCAAGGTATCCAGCCACAGGTCCTCTACCTGAAAAAGAAAAGATACATCAACTAATGTGACTGAATATACAGGGCAAAATAAAACCTTTATTACACAACCTATTGGGGTGGAGCTAACTATTTGTTTTAAAGTAACTTAACTCCTGTGCTGGCACCAAAGGCAAGACGGCACATCTCCGGACGAACCTCTAGATCTCGTCATCGTCCTGGTAGGCCTTCTGGAGATGGTGCTGCTGGGTTCTCCTCCATACACACTGGGTGAAGTGGAAGAAGCAGCCCTTCCACTCGTTTCGGGGGAACGCAATCGCAGAGGCGTTTCTGGAGGCAACCTCATAGTCCATCTGCAACAAAATATTGGAACATCCATTTATTAAGCATCTTACTGAAACTCTGTTATAAAATTCGACAAAACTGTGGCAATCACTGAATAATATTTATACATATATAAGAATTTAAACTCTTACCTTAATATCACTCGTGACACTTTGATGATTGTGTTCATCTTTCACCCTAGTGACGATATCATTCGTTGTTGATGCTGTGGATTTGCTGTCTTTTGCAGTACATATCAAAGATATCCAGTCTCGTTTTCTCTTGCTGACTCTGTACATGAACCCGCAAACAACCAAGTAACGACTGTCGCGAGCTGTAGGGATGAATCTCTGATCTCGCTGTGCATTTGCCATTTCGAAATCGGATGTGAATCCTTTGGTCATTCCATGGATATTTATACGAAAGATATGAACAGTGTTCAATATTGGCACTCTGCTAAATGTTATTGTAAACTTTTCAATCAATTGGAAGTGACATGTGCGACGAGTTCACCTTATCCAAACATCTAGAGTAGATTATCCGCAACGCTAATTAAGCCAAATCAGAACCTAACCTTCAAAGGAAACCGCAGGTCGTTGTCCTGAGACAAGTGGAAAATCGAAAGGTCTGCGTCCTGAGACGACACGGTTGGTCGTGTTGTCTTCACAGAAGCAGTGTGTGAAGCAGGCATATATTTCTGGGTATTCACATATTAATGATACATGCACATACAGGGTATGAACAAATGACATTGTGATTGTCTGCAAGGCTTTCTCTTTAAGAAATAACAACGACAAAACCCTTCCCAAAATCAGAAAATGAATTACTTTCGCACTTTCTATATACATCAGCCCTGACACCAAGAGTGATGGCTTATTCACTGAGGAAAGTGACGCATCGCTTGTCAGCATGACGACATTATAGGTGATGAATGTAACAGTTGGGATATTGATGAACTCTCGCTGGGATGACTGATCGTGCATTTTGATTTAATAATTATTGTAAAGTCATCACAACGTCATTAAGTTGAGGCAGAGCTTGTGTGAGAACGCAATTATACAAATCTGATTTTGTTAACCAGCAAATCGCCCACTGGAGACAAGGTAACCCTGTTGTTAGGATTATAATGCATAACACACCCATCTATTATGTTCCGCCTGCAACCTTAAACACGCCCACTCAGGGAAGCTCCAGTGATGTAGGTTTATACCGTTACTGATTCAAATGGAAGTTAATCGTTTCGCACAATTTTATGTCACATACCTCAAAGATATAGCCAACGAAAGTTAAAGTAATACTTATAAGATGATCGATGATCGTGAAGTTGGCAAAATTCCCATGTTTTGAGAGCACGAGCAGAAATTACGATTCATATGCATGTACAATCTTATCTCAGCTAGTTGTAGATCAAGTGCCTTTGGGTATGTTGACGTCCTGACTGAAGGTCCTAGGCCTGTCATCAAGATGTTATCAATGACGATGCGCATCCGTGAAGCACGCGATCTGCCTCTTATGGAAACAGCCTTTTACTTGAAGATTTGGAGAATCAGTCTGATGAATGAATGAAATGTTGTTTCACGTAAGGACACTATTATATGGCAGTGTTATGTATTATTGAATCGCAAGTTCGTGTTTTTAACAATAACCAGTAGAGAGGCATGTATTACTATCTAATGTAAGATCGGTGAGGTACTGGAGCTGCTGTTAGAGTGGTAATATGGAATCGTTTACAACACCCATCGATTAGTCCAGAAATATGAGGAACTTTCCAGAAGGTATTCAAATTTTGTAAGTGGATAAGTGCATGCATCAACTCACACTACATCAAATCTGCGTTTGTGTAAAGAACATGTGTTCAAACTGGATGCTCTGCAGAGGCCTAGTTTGTCTGCTTTTCCGCCGTTCCTTCTTGGTGAACAGGGTAGCCTAGTGGTTAAGGCGTTCGCTCGTCACGCAGGGGACCAGGCTTCGATTCCCCACATGGGTACAATGTGTAAAGCCCATTTCTGGTGTTCCCGTAGTGATATTGCTGGAATATTGCTAAAAGAGGCGTAATACTAAACTCACTCACTCACTCACTCACTCACTCTTGGTGAACATTATTATTGAGGACTTTATTATTGTTGTTTTTGTATTTGCTGTTGTATTCTGTTCCTCCACTGTATTGTGTACTGCCATTGCTGTTACTCTACAGTAATTTACATGTAGCTCTAGTCTATGTCATGTTGCAAACTGTCTATCACTTCTATGTTGTGTGTTGGTTTCACTATGTGTTGTTACGTGTACAGGCTGGATGTCAACTTACATCCGTGATCTGATGCAGAAGAAGTGGGACACCCAAGTAGGTATTAACAAATTACATGAAATAAAACCTTAGATTGGTTATACCTACTTGGGTTGTCAATACAGATTTGAAGAGGTCATCATGCGACGATGTCGTATTAGCCACACAAGATATACTCATGAGTACCTATTGAAAGGTGAGGATCCTTCGTTTTGTATCCCTTGTGATGAAAGAATCACGGTCAAGCATGTCCTGCTTGACTGTATTGAATATTCCATCACAAGGGATATCTATTTCAAATCACAAACTATGAAGGATCTTTTTAGTAATATAAGTTCTCATTTAATTATTGCCTTTTAAATTTTTTAGACTTGTTAACTGATTTGTAATTAGATATATATTTTATTATTGGTAGTTTAGATTAGTAACTGAGATTGTTAGTGGCTGTACCCTCAAAGGGGGTTGAAGTAGCGTAAAATTATTGTCCTCCTGAGAGGGCACGTAAGTCCCAAAACTTTCACAGTTAAATGTTTGCTTACCCGATTTTTAAACGTAGTATATTTGTTCCTTTAAATTTCGGCTAAACTTGTCCTACAATCGCCAGCGGCTGAATGGATGGTGTAAATCCAACTAGGGTCCATGCAGGTAGCAAAGGCACTGTAAGTCCCCACGGTCCCTAGTATGGTGATCT